TGTTGTTGTTGTTAAGTGCTGTCAAGTCAGTTCCAACTCATAGCAACCCTGTATAGGATTTCCAAGGGGCAACTGGTGTGCTTGAACTGCTGACTTTGTGGTTCAAATCACAAGGAGGGATTCTTTAACTCCAACCAGGAAACAGTATTCCTCCAGTGATGAGGGCCAAACATTGGAGGCTGTGCCATACTTTGCTACCATCTTTGTAACATCTGGCAGACTACCATTCCAAAGGATAAAAAGATGAGCTGACCTTTTCTAATCCTACTCTTGGGGCAGAAATTATCAGCCTGGGGAACATCTAATCATAATTCTCATTCATTCGACAATGAAAGTTGTCTTATTAGAAAATTCTTTACTAAAACAGTTAAAAACACAATCAAATGTCCTAACATTTGGACACTGAAGGAGATTATGTCAGAAAATTTGTAAACATTATGTAGTTTCCTTCCCTGCTGTAGATCTATAATCTCTCTTCTAAAAAGGAACATATAGGTCTTTATAGTAAATTGCTTAAGGCCAAAAGTTACAATCTGGTAACCCAATTTGTTTCCCAGGATAAACCAAAATGAACCTGTTGCCACCAAATCAATTCTGGTTAACATGAGGGAAAAATATTACATGGCAATTTCATAGAGACTGAGGCCTATAAAGTACTTTGCCAAGGATCTCCCATACATGAGGAATACTAGTTTTGGAGGGTTTGGGGTTTGTTTAAATATATATATTTAAAAAAAGAACTTAGTTCACATCCCAAAAGTAAAGATATTTCAATGTTTGAGAGTTTGAGGTTTGGTGTTACAAGTATTGTCACAACCTCTGTTGGATAATTGCTGTCAAATCGATTCTGACTCATAAAGACCCTGGATAGGGTTTCAGAGGAGTAGTTGGTGGGTTTAAACTGCCAGCGTTGTGGTTAGCAGTCCATTGTTTATTCTATAGTGCCACAACAGGACTCCAACATACCATATAGGAGGTATTTTAAGTCAAGAATTCATTTTTACACTTATTATATGACAAGAATAGAGGAATTGATGCATTTGAGCTATGGTGTTGGAGAACAATATTAAAATTACCATGGACTGCCAGAACAACAAATACATCTGGGTTGGAAGTACAACCAGAATGCTCCTTAGAAGCCAAGATAACCATATTATCAGAAGGGACCAGTCCCTGGAGAAAGACATCATTCTTGGTAAAGTGAAGGGTCATCAAAAAGAGGGAGACCCCCACTGGGATGGAATGGCACAGTGGCAGCCGCAATGGGCTCAAGCATAGCAGCAATTGTGAGGATGGCACAGGACTGGGAGGTGTTTCGTTCTGTTGCACATATGTAACTATAGATCAGAACCAACTCGATGGCATGTAACAACAGCAACAACATGCGACAAGCATTGGGTTCTTCACAATGTGAATATCAAAGTTCTCATTTTCTCTTTGTTTCATTATCCTAGAAAGGTGACTGCTTGCTAGTGCAAATGTTTAAAAATACAAGAATTAAATCACATGGTTTTCCAATTTTGGTTTTTAGAACGTGGCTGCAGAGCAGAATCAGAAAATCAACCACGATCAGCACTGAAAGTGGGTATTGTATTTCATTTTATTATCTCTAGAAATCTTTGAAAAGTCTGATCTTTTTCATAATAAATGCTTTCTAAATGCATGTGAGCTCCTTCATTTTAACCCCAGAAAGATCTTCAGGAAAGTTCATTGGATAGTTAGCAAGAATGACTAAGAGTCTGAGTCTGCTGACATTTATGTGAACTTTTCTCACAAAAATAGACTACTTCTGGGGATATAGAAAGGCATTCAAGTAATGTTTGCCAGCCTAAAATAGTCCATTTCTGAACTTGTTTAATCTTGTTATAGGCTCTTCAGCATCAACTAGAATCATTTCAGGCTCTCCGAATACAGACTTTGCAGAATGTTAGCATGGTATGTTGCTTTAATGTATACAAAAGAAATATCCACATATCCATTCTCCTGGGCTGATCATCTGGAGTCCTGGTGTGCCACTGTAGGATAAGCACTGGACTGCTAATCATAAGACTGGAAATTCAAACCCACCAGCCAGTCCTTGGGAATCCTGTATACAGGGTCACTATAAGTCAGAACCAACTCAACAGTACTTAATAACAGCAACAGGTTGATCATCATTGGCCATTTGAGTAATTAATGTAGATTGTTATCTAATATAGGTCACAACATATTCCAGGCTCAAAATTTGTTTAGAGTAAATTCTGCTCTTCTATTATATTTGTATTTGGATATGAGTTAAAAAGAAATAAAACTCACTGATTTTTTAAAAATACATTTTCAAAGTGTTTCAAAGATAGTCTCCAAATAGGTACTCTTTTGTTTAAAGTGATATAAAACCTAATTCAAAATGGCTTGTTGTTGTTGTTGTTGTTATGTGCCGTGGAGTCGGTTCTGACTCATAGTGACACTGTATAGGGTTTCCGAGGCTGTAAATCTTTACAGGAGCAGAAAGCCTCATCTTTCTACCACGGAACAGCTGGTAGTTTCGAACTACTGACCGTAAGGTTCATAGCCCGATTAATAACAACTACCCTACCGGAGCTACTTCAAAATGGCTTACGTAAACAATATAAGTTATTGGCTCAAGTAACCTAGGGATAGCTCACTTCTGGGATGGGTTAATCTTTGTGATCAAGACTCACATTATCAATACTATGTCTCACTCCATTCCTTGACTATGCCTTTGACAGTAATGGATTCTTAGACTCCATGTGGTGATAGAAGGACTACTAGATGCTTTAGACTTTTATTCTTCTAGGTTAAGTCACGCAGAGAAAAGAGTGTGTCTTTTTTTCTCTTAATTATTATTGTTGTTAAGTGCCATCTAGTCGGTTCCAACTTATAGCGACCCTGTATAAGGTTTTCAAGTAGTGGCTGGTGAGCTTGAACATCTGGCCTTGCAGTTCAAACCAATCTTGCAGACCAGTACATTAGCCCACAGCACCACACTTTACACTAAAATCCTAGACCAGATTTCCACTGGCCCAAATCAGATTTCATGCAGTGCTTGACCAATTACTGCCCAGAGGAATGTAATGTTCTGACTTTTTAGCTCAGAGTCACATGCCCATTCCTAGAGGTACATGCCCAAAAGTACATGAACTTTATCCAGAAGAAAGAAGAGATAGTGTTGGAGTACAAAACATAATACATATCACTAAAGACTAGATAAAAACTTCCGCCCATCGTTCATTTACTGAAAGCAACTGAAGGGATATGGTAAGAGAGGATAAACTCCAGCTGATGATAGAATGGATTTCGTTTTGATGGCAGACATCAAAGGTCTTTGATTTATTCAGTCACTTAACAATCAAAGTTCTAAAATTTTGTTCATAAAATTTTATTTTTACTAAGTTAAGTCTTTGTGATTCTATAATCATCTATAGTAAAAGCATACTTTTCTTAAAGATTCCTTTCTTTATAGGGATTACAATTAATTGAAAATCACTTATTTATATTCGGGTTTTTTTATTTGTATTTTATTTCAATGGGAAAGGTTTTTAGGAGCTCTGGTAGCATAGTGGTTACGAATCGGGCTGCGAACCTTAAGGTCAGCAGTTCGAAACTACCAGCCGCTCCACAGGAGAAAGATGAGGATTTCTGCTCCCATAAAGATTTACAGCCTCAGAAACCCTGTACAGGGCCGCTATGGGTCAGAACCGACTCGACAGTAACAACCTCAAAATTATACATTACTACTGTCTAGTCATACATTTATAAATCAAATCCTAACAGTCTCAATTTATCTTTTGAAGGTACAGTCTGAAATCAGCGAAATCTTAAACAAAAGTATTATTGAAGTAGAAAATCCACAATTTAGCTCAGAGAAAAATCTAGTCTTCAGCACACGCATTGAAAAGGATTTGGTATGTTCTTTAGTACAAATTGCTTCTATATTTAGCTACTACAAAAATGTTACTACCATCAGTTTATCTTCACCATTACATTCTCCGTTTCTTCACAGGAAGAATGGACTGCCAGAAGTGAAAATAAGGAAATTCCTGTTCTGAAAACCCTAAAAGATGTGCGTTTTCCTCCAAACTTCCATAGTATTCTTGATTCACTCAGGAAAGTCTGTGAGGGGTACTTTGATTTAGTCCAGGTGCTAAAGGATTCCTAAGTGAATTGAAATAGAAGGCAATTTTTATCATAGATTAATTATTAGTCCACTTAAGTTCTTTTCTACAGTTACGATTGACTAGTCCTGGGGTGAATTCCCTAGGACAGCTCCAAATGCAGTCATTGTATCCATACTGATTAGACCTCACATTTCCAGGACAGTAGCAATCATCTTGAAATTGGGAATACAAATTACATTTGACTAATACAATAGATCAAATAGCTTTGATCTTTTCTACAAGTGATGGTCTCCTGAGGGATGTTAAATTTCTCTTCCTAAAATTCAGACCCATGAACCTGATACCCTAAGGGACTAAGTGCAAATTCTAAGCAAATTGTGCAGACCAGTGCTACAGATCTAAAACAACTATTGTTATGTTTTTCTGGAGAAAAAAAACTACACTTGTTAAGTTTCTTTGCTATAAAATGAGATTTAAAAGCTCATTTTAGTTGTATAAACAAATCTCTATTGAAGTTATATTAAGTTGTTGGTTATGTGACAAATGAGAGTGCATTTACAGTGTGTGTTTGTGTTTTTTTATTATTATTAGTCTATAGAGAATGAAGAAGAAATCCTTTCTCTGGAGAAAAATCATCATTCTGAGAATTCCAGGTCTCTTCATTCAGTTGAAGAAAACTTCAGTAGTGATAGTGTTAACACTCTCTCTCAAGATCTACATATCCCATCTCAAATACATTTCAAAGACATACTAACTCTGAGAACATCAACAGATAATACAGCTTCAAACATAATTAAGAACCCTTCAGGAAATTCTGACATGCTGAAAAGTTATAATAACCTTTACAGTTTTCTACCCAACCCACCTGAAAATGAAATGTCTCAAGGTAATACAGTCATTCTAGATGAACCCACAATTACTGTGCCTTTTCTCAAACATGGATTTTGTGAAAATTTAGATGATATTTGCCATTCTATTAAACAAATGAAAGAAGAGCTACAAAAGTCACATGATAGAGAACTGACACTTACAAATGAACTTCAGACTTTAAAAGCAGATAAAAAAATTCAAAGTAATGGTAAATATGATCTTTCCCCCATTCACAAAGACAAAATTAATTTTATTAAGGAAGAAAATATGGAAAATAACTTAAATGAAGATAAAAAATCTAAACGAATTAAAGAATTAGAGGTAATAGTAAACAAATTACTCCCCCTCAGAGAAACAGTGTCAAAAGTCCATGTGACTTTTTGCAGAAAATGCAAAAAATTATCTAAGAATGAAATACATCGGGGAAAAAAGAATGAAAAAAACACAGAAATTCCTATCACTGGCAAGAATATTACAGATTTAAAATTCCATTCCAGAATTCCAAGAGATACACTGTCATTCCTTGACCAAACAAAACAAAGAATGAAAGATAAAGAAAGGCAATCATTTGTACTAAAGCAAGGACCAACAATGTTTGAAAGTGAGAAAACATCCAATGTCAATTCAGTGACTGAGCAGTGTGTTGCAAAAATTCAGTACTTACAAAATTACTTAAAAGAATCTATGCAGCTAAAGAAAACAGTAACAGAACTAGAGAATGAAAATCTAACCCTCAAGACGAAAATAAAACATCTTGTCTCTACTACACAATCTTTGATTCAGAAAATTGAAACATATGAAAAGCAAGTTAAGAATCTGATTGAAGAAAAGAACAGTGTTCAATCTAGGTTAACTAAATCAGAAGAAGATAGCAAAGAGTGTCTTCAAGAATTGAAAAATATGATCAGTAAGTATAACGCCCTCCAATGTCAAAATAAAACTCTGGAAGAAAAACATAGTCAGCTTTCTTTGGAGAAACAACAAATGATAGAAACATTAGATCAATTAAAAAGTAAGGAACACAAAACTCAAAATGATTTTGCTCTTGTCAGTAATGAAAATAATCGAATGAGTCTAGAAATGGAATCAATTAAAACTAATGTTCTATTGATACAAGATGAAAAAGAAATGTTAGAGAAAAAAACACACCAGCTTCAAAAGGAAAAAAACTCACTTGACAAGGAGCTAAAGGAAAACCAGCTAGAGATAATGCAACTAAAAGAGAAAGAAAGATTGGCAAAAACTGAACAAGAGACACTTCTTCAAATAATAGAAACATTTAAAAATGAAAAACTTGATCTTGAAACAACATTACAAGAATCTACTGCTGCTAGACAAATGATGGAAAGAAAAGTTGAGAATATTCAAACATACCAGTCTACTGCGGAAGAGAATTTTCTGAAAGAAATAAAAAGTGCAAAATCAGAAGCAACTATTTACAAGAATAGCTTGTCAGAAATGAGCCAGGAATGTGAAATGTTATCAAAAATGGTAATGGAAATTAAAACAGATAATCAGATTCTAAAAGAAGAACTCAAGAAACATAACCAAGACAATATAAAATTTGAAAACAGCATCAGTAGGCTTACTGAAGACAAAATACTTTTAGAAAACTACGTAAGAAGTATACAAAATGAAAGGGATACCTTGGAATTTGAGATGCGGAATCTTCAAAGAGAATATTTTAACTTAAGTGATAAAGTCTGTAGTCAGCATAGTGACCTATCAAAAATGTCTTACATTTCAAGAAGAGAGAAATATCATTTCGACAACTCTGATACTTATGAAGAAACTTCTAGTCCTAGGAGTAGGCCTTTAGCTCCTGATGTGAAAGGTATGTAGATCATAGTGGATTAGTAAAGAGTAGGCTGTGCAGTGTCTCTGTAGAATAAGCACTGAACAGAGCACACCAGAATCTCCCAGGGAGAAAGATGAGTCTTTCTGCTCCTGCAGAGACTTACCACCTCAGAAACCCTATACCCGGTGGTTATGAGTCAGAACTAACTTGCCAGCACTTAACAACAGTAACAACAAGCAAAGAGATGTATTTAAGATTATTTTAGCCTATAGAGCACTAGCCAGGCTACAGTAAGGAAACTTTAAGATGAATAAAATTTGGTTTTGTACAATTTGGATTCAACTTGGTATATAAAGGAATTATTTAGGAATTTTGCTCTTTTAATTAATATTTTATTCATAGAGCTCTGGTAGCGTAGTGGTTACGAATCGGGCTGCGAAACTTAAGGTCAGCGGTTCGAAACTACCAGCCGCTCCGCAGGAGAAAGATGAGGCTTTCTACTCCCGTAAAGATTTACACCCTCGGAAACCCTGTACAGGGTCGCTATGGGTCGGAACCGACTCGACGGCACTTAACAACAACAACAACAACAATATACATTGTATATGTAGAAAGCAACTTTGTCAAGGAGCAGGTTTGTTTTTTAGTAAGATAAGCACTCAACCTCAAGGTCGGTTTGAACCACAAGGTCGGTAGTTCAAACTCACCAGCTGCTCCTAGGACACCCTATATAGGGTCGCTATGAGTCAGAACCAACTTGACAGCACTTAACAGCAAAAGCAACAACAAAGTATAATTAACACTCCCACCTTTAATTTTCGTTTTTCTTTTTTTTCCCCCAGGAACTCCAAGCAAACTGTACCAATTGCTTCCTTCCAAGATATGTAAATAAATTTCTAAAATCAATTTTTTTAAATGTGTCCAACTACTTTTTCTACATGAAATAATTTTAGGTTCATTTTTACATGGAATCACAATTATCTAATGGATGATTAAACTTCTTTTATTATTATTATTATTACAAAAAGAGCTTATGTATATATTCTTAACATTATCAAGAACCGTGAAGGAGCTGAGATTTGTATCCTTCTTTATGAGTAAGCTAGTATGGTTTTAAAAATGCTTGCTATCAACTCAATGTTCTATTCAGAGCAACACTAAAGGAAAGAGTAGAGCAGTCCCCTAAGGTTTCCAAGGCTATAATCTTCATAGAAGCAGACATAAACATTGTTAACCCTGTACCACTAGCGCTCCTTAGCTAATATAATAGGTTGGACAGCTGCAATTTCATAGATTCTATTAGAAGACACAAGACTTGGGTCAGAGATAAAACAAAAACAGTTCATTACTCATAGCAATAACAGTAGTCAAAGGATTTGGATAGAAGGGGAATGGAAACAGGAAACACGAAGAGGAAGTGTAGTAAGTAATGTTTCCTCAGTGAGATGAAACAAAATCTGTATGAATTACTGAATTGTCTGCTCTGTAAACCTTCATCCAATTCACAAAGGGGACGGGGAGGAATAGCAATAGTCAAAATATCAGCATTTTTGCATCATTTCCTCATGTACCAATTCCGAGAGGGGTCCAGATAACACTACACATGTATTACAGGGGAGGAACCCTGAATATAGAATTCTGGATTGACAGTTTCTTTCAACACTTTGAAGATGTCACTTAATATCATCTGACTTACACAGTTTAATGAAAATTTGTTGTTTTTTTATATAATGTGTCATTTTTCCTCTGGAAGACAAGATTTGTATCTTTAACACTGGTGTCCTGGAATTTTATTGTGATGTGTTCTGGTGTGACTTTTCTTTGGTTTTAATCTGCTTGGCGTTCTTTGAGCATCTTATATTTTGGAGTTTACGATTTTTATCAAATTAAGAAATTTTCAGCCATTCCTTATTTAGATTTTTTTCTGTCCACCTTTTTCTGAAACTCCAATTACATGTATATGTTATACCAGTTGATATTTTCTGCTTCCACAAAAACTACAGCCAAGAGAAATCTGTAGGGCAGTTCTACTCTCGAACTCATAGGGCCAACTCAATGACAGCGAACAACAGCAACATATGGAGTGTTTTGCTATGAAAAGATATATTAATAACCATTCATTGCAACTATGAAAGGCAGAGGTGAAAATAAACAATTTTGTAGATTTTAATAAAGTCTGAACATATTAAGCTTTTAGCTCATATATTGATGAGACCTCTTTATTAACATTATCAATCTGTTGCTGTTAAGTGCCGTTGAGTCAGTCCAGACTCATGGCAACCACATGCACAATAGAACGAAATACTGCGTTTTCATTCCTGCACCAACCTCACAATCGTTGCTACAATTTGAGCTGCTGTCATTGTGCCAATCTCTCATTGGGGATCTACCTCTTTTCTCTGGCCTTCCATTTGACCAACCATGAAATCTTTCTCCAGGGACTGGTAGAAAAAAAATTCAAGTTGTCAAAGACTTCATTTTGCTCAGATGAACCATAACACTCATAGAAGCAGCAGTCAAAAAATCAAACAATGTAATGTGTTAGGCAAATCTGCTGCACACAACCTCTTTAAAGTGTTGAAGAGCGAAGATGTTAGTTTAAGGTGTGCCTGACCCCAAACCATTTATCAATGTGATGGTGGTCATGGTGGGGTGCCACGGAATTATTTCCGACTCAGAGCAACCCGGTATAGGGTTTCCGAGGCTGTAGAAAGCCTCATCTTTTGCCCACATTTATCAGAATATAACTACGTAATTTGTATTTAACTATGTGTACCTAACAAAGTCATTCCTTTTGTGAAAAGAAATGGATGTTCCTCATGTGACTTTTGAGTCACATTAAACTCTTGATAATTATTTTTTTAGGTGTTCATTCTTTACTCCTGATAGAATCCTAGTGTGGTACTGTGGGCTAATGTGTTAGACTGCAAAGTCGTTTTGAACCACAAGGTAGGTGGTTCAAGCTCACCAGCTGCTCTTGAAATCCTATAGAGGATTGCTATGGGTGGGAACAGACTCAACAGAAATTAATAATTCTTTACTGTCTTCGGATTTTTTTTTTAATTACGTATTCTTTAGAAAAAAATATTAAAAATTAGTTGTGAGGTTTAATCACTCTTTTGCATTCACATCTGACTCCTGGTCTGGGGTTGCTGGTTAATGCACTCGACTGCAAAGTCAGCTTGAACAGCAAGGTCAGCAGTTCAAACTCACCAGCTGCTCCTCAGAAACCCAATACAGGGTTGCTATGAGTCGGAACCGACTCCATGGCACTTGACAACAACAACAGCATTAATTCACATCATTAAGGAACAATGGTAGCGTGGCTTACCTGTTGGGCTGTCAGCGATTCTAATCTACCAGACACTCAGCAGAAGAAAGATGAAGCCTTCTAGTCCTGTAAAGATTTTCAGTCTAGCAAATCCTACTCAGGGTCACTATGAGATGGAACCAACACCACAGCACATAACCACCACCACCACGACCATTCACATCATTGATGAGGGAAGGATTCCTATATCCTAGGGTTATAAGGGTGGCCAGACACACACCACCCAGAAATTGACAGGTAAAATCAATAGTAGTTTATTAGTCACATATGCTCACAGCCCAAGGGAGGAGGAGGCAGCTCATACAGCAGGGCCATGTGAGTGTTACACTTGTGACCATAGAAATAGGCAGGGGCTATTGGAGGCAGTTAGTTGTATACCATCAATAGTTGTTGTTGTTGTCAGGTGCCATCGAGTCGGAACCAACTCACAGTGACCCCATGCACAGCAGAACAAAACAATGCCCGATCCTGGGCCAACCTCACTACCGCTGTCACACTTGACGCCATCAGTGATGCCACCTGGCCGATCTATTTCGTTGGGGGTCTTCCTCTCTTTCTCTGACCCTACATCTTACCCAGCATGACATCCTTCTCCAGCGACTGTTCTCTAACAACAATATGTCCAAAGTATGAGAGACGAAGCTTAGCCATCCTGGCCTCCA